CCCAACATTCAAACACAGGTTCCATAACCCGACATTAAATCTTAAATTAATGAATTATTTATAATCAGTGTAATTAATTTGGTTAAGATGTATTAATAATCCGTTGTGACATGAATAATGTTCCATGTGCTGGGTTTCCTCAAAAACAATTGCTCTATTAGTTGGAGGTTCTTCTTATACCTTCATGCTAATTCATATATTCGTTGATTGTTGCTATTTTTTATTAGGATTAAATATACAAAAGGTCCTAATTTATGTTCTTTTTTTTAAGTTTAGTGTCTTACGTTTATTTCGTTCTGATTTGGTGCTTAACGTTTCATTTCGTTACTAAAAATGAGTCAAGCTGTGACAGACCGTTAATTTTCTCCGTTAAGTGACATTTGTCACACTATGGTAATTTTAAATTTTTTTATATAAAATAAAATAAAAATTATATTTTTTTTAAAAATAAAATACATTAATTTTGAAATAACCCCAAAACTTTGAAAACATTCATTTCAACCCCTAAATCCACATCGACCGCCGCCCTTTGCCGTCGACGAATCTCCACCATACCTCACCTCCCCCCGACAACCAAACCCCTATGAAATCGTGAATGATCAACGACCGATCGACGGCAAATCGACGTTTTATACCCCGCGAACCCTAGGATGAAAATCGCAATCTCAAGTGATTTCGAAGGCCAATTGACGACAACTACAGCGACTTATAACTAGGATGATGACAAGGACTACGTCGGCGGTGGTGGTCGTGGTTGGAAAGGGTGGCGATAACGGGTTAGTGTTAGGATTTGAAGATTTTAGTGATTTTGAGATTTTTGTTGTAATTTAAAAGAAATAAGTGGTTTTATAAATATAATATTTTTAATATTTTAAAAAATAAATTTCAAAATTACCAGATTGTGACACGTGTTATTTAACGGAGAAAACTAATGGTCCGTCACGGCTTTAACAGGATGAAGTGTTAGGCACTAAATTAAAATGAAATAAACGTTAGACACTAAACTAAAAAAAAGATATATATTGAACACCTTTTGTATATTTAAGCATTATTATTATCATCATCACAATTTCTTACCAAAAAAAGACAACCATCTAAATTTATTTTTACAATTATTATATTTCTTTTACACGAAATTTAAAAAAAAAAGTTAATATAAAATAAATATCGAAATTATACCTTTTTTGTATTTAGATGCTTAATTATTTTTCAGTTAATTCAAATGTCTAACTACTAATTATTACTATTTTAAGTGTCACGATCATAACGATTGTTAAAAAGTCTCGTTAAGTGACATCTGTCAAATTCTTGTATTTTTATTTTTTAAGGTTTCCAATTTTTTTTATTTTTAAAGAAATTATATTAGACACTTAAATATTTTTTTTAAATTCTTGTATTTAAATTTTAAATGTTTTTTAAATTACCAAAACATGACATATGTCATATTATCAATTAATGAAATTTTTTAACACAGTTATGATCGAAACACTTAAAATGATAATGTTTATAATATTAAACACTTAAATTAATTAAAAAATAATTTTAAAAAAACTATATAATTTAAATAATTATTTTAATATCAAGCCTTTAAAAAATAAAGATGTTAGAATGCGATGCGAACACAAAACTAAGCAGATGTCACGTATTACAGATGGTTGTATTGATATTACCTATTTAATATTTATTGAAAATTCCTTTATTGGGAGTTGTGATGGAAAAGTAGAGTGTGTGTAAGCTTTTTGTTTTTTTATAATTGGCATAAAATTAAATTAAAATATTTAAAAAATAATAATATATGGAGAAAAGAAATATCCTCTACCATTCTACATTGCACATGTTGGGCCACATGGCATGTTACAGCATTCATGGCTTTGGATCCTCTAACCAGTGCCAATACTGATCTTTCCTTTGAATTTTTTTCATTAAAAAAATGGATTGTATAATATTTTAAGAAATAATATCTAATAAATTTGAGATTTAACTATTCCAGGAAAAGATAAAATTATATAATGAAATCTCATTAAAAACTCTAATAATGAATACAATAATTTTAAATTTTTTTATTAAGATAAGTTATAATGTATAGATTTATATATGAGATGCTAAATATATATCAATATAATAAAAGAGGTTATAAGTAAATAAAGAGATTTGAATTGCTCAAAAACAACTGGCATGCACATGCAGACCAATGTGGGGATCAAAAGTAGCTGAGAAATGCAAAAGCAACAAAAATAATTATGATATCAAATTGGCAAAACTCATTTTGCCAATACAATACCACTCTAGTGTGGGAAGCATGCTTTTTTTTTCCACTCATTCCTTATCCCTTCCTTTTAGTTCTATGATTACGCACAAATCCTAGTTACGTTATTATTTATTTAGGTCTCGAGTTCGAGCATTAATAATGTCAGAGGTATGAGTGTTCAATATCAAATAGTTGAAAGTTATCTTTGAACATATACTACTTTGTACTTACCCCATATTAATCAATAATAAAAAATAAGAAAATAATTCTCGAATGATTACAAGATAATTATACAAAAAAAATTAGGAGAGACAATGAGTTTAATAATGGCTTAAGAGTTAATTAGATCCTGAAAGTTGGGGGGGGGGGCATAGCCCCACCCACCTATAATGTTGGTCCGTCCTTGGTCTCGGGTGATTACGAGATTTAACAACGTATACACATCCTGTAAATATAATTACTCGAACGTAATACTTCTAGAAAGAATAACATTCTTTTTTTTTCACTAAAGCCAGTTGATTGGTTAATTATCCCATTCTTTTGATTTAATCAATCCAATATACTAGACATAAAATCATTAAATATAATTATAATTATATTAGAATATGTCATATTTATTAAATAAATTGTATTATATCTAAAAGGGTTAGGATCCACTTACATAGTGCAGAACTCTTTAGTTTTACATAGATTTAAGATTATTGGATGAGTGAAAATAGACGGTTGAGATTGACTTCTTTTTTTCTTCAGTAAATATCTTTTCATTTTATATTATTAATCTCAGTCATCTATTTTCACTCATTCAACGATCATAATCTGTGAAAAATTAAAATAATTTTATATTATGTAACACGATTACATCCCTGCCTAAAAGTATCTAATTGTGTTATACAAGAGGATTTACGGACATACTAAACCCAATAGGCGACTAGTTAGATTTAGATTGTGAATATTTCAGATTTTGATTTTAATAAATATTTTGGAGCTAAAGCTGAAGAGTCGACATATCTATAATGCTTCTTAAATAGAGATAAATTTAAGAAAGAGATCAAAACAAATGATATAATATAAAGAAATAAGAAAAATAATAATCACCTCGGTGATTAATATTAAAATTAATTTTATCATCAACTAAATAAAAATAAAAAAGAAAATGGGATAAAAAATATTAAAGGAAAACTTAAGTTTATTTATGATATTGTTAAGGTACAAGAATCCAGCTGGATCTATGAATACTATGTAATATGGAAGTCTGATCAGTTGTGTAAATCACACTTGTTGGTAAAAGAAGAAAAAAAGGGAGAAAAAGCTTAAGGCGTAAATAGCTGCAGTTGTGGGAAAGGTAAATAAATTTGCGTTTTGGCATAATATTAGAATTAGCTCTCAATATTTATTAAAATAATCATTTTAGTTAACTTTTTTCATATAAAAAAAATAGTCTCTAACGTTAGATTTCGAGCAAAAGATGTCTCTTTATACGTAGAAATCATTAGTTAACAAATAATTAATGATTCAAAATAGATGTTTTTTTACTCTAAAATGAAACGTTAGAGGCCAAAATCTTCTAAAAATAATTAAAATGACTATTCAATCTAACATTAATGATTTTTTTATCTTAAAATAAGATGATAAAAATAAAAAACTTCAAAAACAGAACAAAAATTAAAATGATCATTTTAATAAACAACTGATGCTAATTGTAACTTTATATAGTGTATTTTTCAAGTCTAAGAGGTGGGCTTGGTCACGGAAGGGCCATTTAGTTTCTTAGGCTTTGGTCCTCTACTCAATTATAGGGCATAACCACTGCATTCCACAACACATCTTAGAGAAACAGAAAACAAAAAATGGGTATCTTTTAATTTATGTTAACTTTTGGATTAAATCTACCATTAAGGTATATTTTATGTATCAAAATAGGATAAAAATCTTTACTCAAAATACTCATATATACATGGGGTAGATTTTAAAATATTTTTAGGACCAACGCAATATATATTAACAACATAAAATTTTTGTACATAAAAGACATAAATAAAATTTTAGAGTGAATATAATTAATAAAATAAATAATTATCTGATGAAAATTCAAATTTCAGTGCACACCTTCTGAATTCGCCACTCCATATGCATTCATTAGTTTTTTTTCACTTGGATGAATATTTTTTCTTCATTTGCATTTCCTTTTCTTAGTTCATCATTCTCCTTCAACTCTAACATAAAAAACTTAGCTCGTTCAAAAAAGGAAAAAAAAAAAGAATAAAAATCATCGTACCACTAAAAACACTCAAAGTTGGTAACCTCGTAGTTAGGGCAACTGAAAACCCCCATATTTTCCTTCATGTTATCCACATTGTTCACCCTCATACACCCACAAATCTGGAGATTGAATACAAGATTTGTTACTTTGAGATGATGATGAAGAAGACATTGGGAGTATGAAATCGAGTAAGGAATATCGATTGCAATGGTTAGTTGAAGAGTTCAATTGAGTATAAAGAGAAGGTTGATATTTAATTAATTTTTTAATTATTTCGAAAGTTTTTTTTAAAGACTTGGCTATAATTTTGTCATACCTTATAATTTTTGAAAATATTTATTAAAATTTTATCATTTACGAGGACCAACATGCAATTTTACCATCATCTTATCTTAAAATTTAAAGAGACAAAACCCATAATTTTACCATTTAGGGGCCAAGTCCCATTCCCTCTCCCCTCTAGCTTCTAACAAAAGGGACTAAAGAACAAAATTACAAAAAAGGGGTTAATAAAATTCATGCAAAAAATAAGTTGTTCTTGAACCATGATAATGGTATTACAATTTATTTAAGCAAATAAGGAATTGCATACATTTTATTCTATACCACAACTAAATTTTTGAAAAATAATAAGTTCGAACCTCGACAATAAAATCGAAGTAATTATTCCTTGAAATGTTGGCAATCAAGTAATCCGACATGAAAAAAACCACTCAATCTACCAAAGCATAATTTACTTACCATCCAATTGGACAGGACCGAGAACGATTCAGCTGAACTATGCCTGCAAAAAGCTAGCATATTTGGCACCTAGGAAAAGCCTCTGGATGCAGAGTAAGGCATTCTTGGTAACCTCGGCGCTGTCATGGTTCATCAACTTCATAACCTGTTCCTTCGCCTTGAGATCGTTCACTATCACCCGGCCAGCGGGGTGGTGCTGAATAAATTGTGAGAGATCGAAGCAAGCAACGGCTAGAGCTCTTGGATCATTAGACGAGTCCATAATTGTAATGAGGACCCTTAGAACCTGAGAAAGAACATGATAACTAATTATCACAGTTTTCTACTTGGATATTCACAATCTAAAAACGCATGTTTTAACTGATCCTGATCTTTCCCGACATTGTTGATAAGCAACAAAATAACTCAAAAATTATCAGAAAATAGATGATGTGAACAAAGTGTTGTGATAATAATTTGTTCCGAGGGCAAAAACAGCAGCAAGAATAAATGAACTGTTACGACTTGCCAAAGGCACCACAATTCCGCTAGTGTTATAAGCCGTGAACTAGGTTCCTCGCCTCAGAATAAGACAACCCCCCAAAAAAAGACAAACCCATTCGAACAACACATTTGATCAAGGCACAAAAAACATGCATACCCTTTTGGGCAAGATACATTTGATCAAGGCACGAGCAGGATGTGTCTAGACAAGCGTTTTTGTAAGGCAGTAGGCACTAAAAAACTCCTGATTTCATTTATTTTTAATTTTTTACTAACAATATCTTAGTCAAGGGGATAATATCAACTCTCTAATGTTTTGAGTAAAACATAAAATTTGGCAAAAAAGAAGAAAAAAATGTTGTGTGTAGGATAAATAATCTGAACTAATATTTGATTACATTATCATCATTAAATACCGAAGCTTATTTTACTTCCACGCACAAATAGACATACAAAAAATGCATACAAACACACACGCATGTATCATGCCTTATATCACTTGGGCATATGATTTTTGTAGCACCTTGCACCATATAAGGATTGTAACACCTAGCCTTGATCCCTTGAAAAAATTGAGCATCATATCAGAATCTTAATTTTACAAGATGCATTCTTTTTTCATAAAACAAATTCTTTGCAAAAAAAATTACAGACCTATACTCGCATATGAAATGATTGTTACCGATAAGTAAGCAATGAGCAGGAAGTTACATTCTGACAAATTAACTTCACCAATTTACCATGTTAGCACTTGCCTCTAAGAGTAATAGTCCAATAGGCATCCCAAAAGACCTAAATTCTTACACATATTAGCAGTTAACATGCGTGGCAGTGAGAGGTTGCAGGTTTTCAGATTGAAAGTTAGAAAGATTTGTGGTCGGAAACTTTTGCACAGACCCAATGGACAAATTAACTTCTTTTAAAATTTGATTCCCTCTTCATAAAGTTACCCATAAGCAAGGATATAGCTTGAGACGTGACAAACAAAAAATATACCTGGAAATCATTCTCTTCAAAGCATGAAATATTATCACGCCAAAACAATGGATCTTTATGCATGGGTGACCAATCAAGATGACCAAGGAGAATTTCTTGCTTATATTTATCGAAGGAACTCAATTTCTTAATGTTATCCTTCAGCCCATCTTCAAGGTGATTGAGAGTCTCCAATAGATCCTAAGAAATATCCAAATAAAATCCGTAAGCAAGAATTGGTATTTAAAGAGTACACAAAATTTAGCATAGCTGCATTGAATCTAAATTTAAATGGAAGGAAAAATAAGATTTAACAATGAGAATTACATAGCCAGATAAGAATTAAATGATCTGTTTTCTTACCTCATCACTCCATGCTTGTGCTTTCAAACTCTGAACAATCTGTGGCAGTCCGAGGTCAACCATCTGAGCACCGAATGTGCCTTTGGATAACAAGTTCCTAAAGGTCAATACAACAACCCTGACAACCTGGCCGCCATTCATCAAGTTCAAAAAAATATTATACAAATCAGTAACACATTTAAAATGATTAAACTAACATAGAATTAGATTAATCGGCCAGAACTTAAAAGCATGCAATTCGTCCTTGGTAATGATAAAAATTCAATGCTGACACAGAATTGCAGAAAAAAAAGTTAAAGGGAAAAGAAAAGGTTGGAAAATAACAGAATCCTGTCCATATACCACATTAAAGGATGCCTGATCACACATACATTTGATTAAAGCAACATAGACATTACAAGACAAAACTTGGATAAAGGGTACATTAGAATAGCTCACCTTCTCCTTTGTGGAACTCTTAACGACATCAACCAGTCTTGGTAGAGCCCTAGATGTCGCTAAATACTCAATTGCTGGTTCATAGTAAGATAAAAGCCACACACAGAGACATGTTTCATAGAGAAGCTGTTGCAAACATTAGTTGTTGTCAATTTCAGAATTATACCACTCAAATGGCTTAGAAGGAAAAGTTACTCCTTTTTAAAACCTAATCACTTCAAAAAGTGAAAAACAAGAATACCTGGTTAGATTGCTGGGTCGATGCTGGAGTAATTAAAGGGATCAGTAACTTCACCCCATCCGCTCGAACAAAGGAAGACCTGACAATAGGTTCCTTCAGTAATGCTGCAAGACAGTTAATAGCAGTAGGAACACCACAAGTAGGATGGGAAGGCTTCTTTAGCTGCAAAGACATTGGACATCAATAAGTAAGAACTGTTATTTAATTCAATATAAATAAAAAGAATCTACTTCAAAAGAAATCATTTTGCAACAAGACGTGTGAGAATGAGGTGATCATAGACTAGAAAATGGACATGGGACCTTCCAGAAGGCATGTAAATTCATAGAGAGCCAAGGCAGTCAACTTCTTCCAGCCAAGAGAATGAACGATGCATTGCAGACTGAAAAAAAAAATGCAAAGCAATAAACTAACCTGCGTGCAAAGCCAGTCAACTAATTCCTTTAGTACATCATCAATGGTAGGGCCCCTTATCTTTGAGGCTTCTCCATTTGCAACAGCACCCTCCTGGGTTCTTGGCCTTGCACTATAAATTAACAGAAAAAAGAATGTAAAGAATCATCAAATAGAGCATGCAATACACTATGTCATTCGATTAAATTTCTTTAAAACTCTATTTTATTACTTGGATGAATCACAAATTTTGTACCTTACTATTGAGGCAAGTATCTTGCAGCTCTTTTCTTGTATGAACCAGTTTCCTTTCCACAACAATCTGAAAGTAGACCAAATTTTGGATAGTTTTAGTTTGGACAATTTAGTACAAGTAAAGGAACCAAGTATACATGGATCAAAATTTTCACATTTACCAAAGAAACACTTTTATTCAACTATTAAGGTAATAAAGCCAAAGAGTAGAATGAAGGATAAACCAGAATATATAACACGGATAACCACATACAATAAACCATGCTTGGTGACCTACACTAAAAACAATTACTGGCATCTAAAAGCTCTTGCAGCTAGCAGCAAAAGTGGAAGAAGCTCATTATAAATACCATGTTTGAGCTAAGACCAACCAGTTGCATAAATGTATCTTTTCATACATGATCACAAATGTACTAAAAAAAAATGCCAGTATTTTTACCAGAGAGACAGCTTACAATGAAAAATCACGTAAGAGTCCATTGTGAGCAAGATATCAAAACTCCTAATACTTGTACATGCTCATTATGCAGATGGAGCCACATCTTATCAACATAACTCAGACTTCAAACAAGAAAGTGCTAGAGAAGAGATAACTGTTGTAACTTTAAGGGTCCAACATCTAGTTTTCAATTAAAAAAAAGGAAGGAAAGGAAAGGAAAGAAAGATGAAGTCCTAAAAAGCGTAGTCATCACTAACAATATAAGGAAGATTCAGCACAGAGGAATCAAATCATTTCAGAGTCAAAATAATGCCATAAAGAAAAAGTAAAGCCAATATGTATAGATACATTAGTTAGAAAGATGACTGTAACCGTGAGGCAATCACCAAGCAGACACTATGCAGTATGCACTATTTTAGGGTACCAAAATTCTGTAACTTTAAGGGTCCAACACCTACTTTTCATTTTCTTAAGGAAAAAAAATACTAAAAGATTATAGCCATCACTAAAAATACAAGGCAGTATCCTGAATTATAATCAGATTCAGCACCGAAAAATCAACTCAATTTCAAAATATATGCAATAAAGGACAAGTGAAGCCAATATGCATAGATATAACATTCGGAAAGGTGATTCAAACTCTAAAGCAGTCATCAAGCAGACACAATACACTATTTTAGGGTACCACTGGTCATAGTTGAAAGATATTAGAGTATCAGCCACCTTGTCCACACAGACACAAAAAAAGCCACAGATTAACTATGAAAGCAATCATGAGAAAGAAAGGAAAAAAACTTAACTTAGGAAAGGTTCATAAGTATCTTCAGTAGCAAGAGACTTGTCATGAAATAATCTGGCTCTTTTTGGATTGGCTGCAATAGAAAATATCAGCAAATAAATTTGTTTATGATGAATGCAATTGTCAAACAACCAGCATTCTTCAAAGTTCAAATACCTGTAAGCATTTCATCAATTAAAGCCAGAACATATTCCACTGTTTCTTCTTTAAAGATATCACGTAATATGCTAACAAACACTTGCACGTAGGCCGGACCATCCTGTCACAGTTAATTTCACCAATCAATATTATTGCAAAGACCATCCAAGATTTTCCTTTCAAAAAGCTTAATCAGTTTATGACTGAAGATAAGTTAATAGAACTAGTGAATTAATCAGAGAGGGAAAAGGAACACATCCACAAAATGATACCGAGCTCATATGTTAAGAAGAGTTATAAAAATTACATCATCCAACAACTGTGCCCTGACACTTTCAGCTCTATTATCATAACGCCTTAACAGCTGAAGGCCTGTTCCTGATATCAGCTTCGTCGTCATGTATGTTTCCCATGGGATATCCCTCTTAAGAACCTTTAAAGGAGAAAAAATGACAATTATCAGCATGCAATCACCACTAATCCTTGAAACAGTTTAAAGAATATAATTATTTAGATTCTTTGAAACAGGGAACCACAAGAAAAACATAACACAGGATAGAATTTTTAATAAAATAGGATCAGGAAAATTATAAAAAAAGGAAAATATAATTTGCTTGTTTTAAAAAAACAAATAAATATGTGTTTCGCTGCCCATTATGAGTTGAACAGACAACAATTTGAAGCATTTAAAAGAATCCAAAAACCTGTGTAGCCCATCAAAGCAGTTCATTAGGAGAATCCCTAACCTATAGTATGATAAGATCCATACTTCTCAGGGTTTCAAAACCTAAAACACAAAAGCAAGAACAAAACTGATTTTCGCATTCAATAACTTAAAATGAAGAGAACCATCCATGGAAGTAAGCCAAATCAACCACGGCAGGCCATATTTTACTGCCTGATCCTTGCAGGAAATATGTTCTTACAAATTTACTGCTGAATTCTTCAAATTTATCATTTGCTTTTATATCCAATCTTACTTTAATTTTGCTTCCAAAAGCAAAATAATAATAATAATAATAACAATGCTCATATGATCCACAAGCTTTCGAATTCCAATAAAAATTCGAAAACATTATAAAACCGTGACAAATAAATTAAATGAGGTGATCGGATGATCAACCTGTTCAGTAGTTAGTTCCGCGCGATCCATTGATGCTCAAAGAGTACTTCGAATCCACGCGAACTCAAATCCCTACAAAAATTCACCAAAAAGAAATTTTAAATAAATAACTTAAAAAATTTTAATCAAACTCCGATTTTAACTACAAATACACGACAGAAATCTATTAAAAATTAAATAAAAATCACAAATATGAAGCATCGAAAACGACAGATCCAATCTGATTAATCTAACTTAAATTTAATCCACTTCTCAGTTAAAAGTTCATAAATCAAAATAAAACTAAAAAAAATCAGGAGAGTGAAAAAAAAACAATAAGAGAAAATGCAAGTTGAACATGGGATAACGCGAAAATTCATCAAGTTAAAAAAGAAACAATTAATTAGGGAATAAATTGTATCAAATCACCTTTAAAAATACAAAAATCTTAAAAGAGCAAAGAAAAGGTAAATGCAGAGATGAGAGAAGTGTGTTTTGTTTTGATTGAAAGAAAAATTGAAGGAAGTTGGAGTAAAACTGGAAACTAGTTAAGAGGGGGGGGGAGAAAATAATAAGTTGAAAACGTTGTCGTATTGCTAACCAAAATTTTGGTTCTTTCTTTCTTCCGTGGACCTTGTTCTTCTGGCTTGACAGTGATCGCAAGGTGGATTTCGATTGAAGAGTCTAAATCGGGTGCTCCCGTGAATAGAGTTGTTTCTGGTTTGTTTGGCATTATAAAGTCGACGCGTCGCAAGCAAAGATGATGAACTTCCTAATTAAATTTTAAGGTAAATTATAAATTCAATCACTCAACTTTCTTCTTACTCTTATTTTGGTCATTAAATTTAAAAAAGAATAATTTAATAAATAACATTTTGAATTACTCTTTTGGTCAATTGATCATTTCTTTCAAATTCTATGTTGATTTTATTTTTTAGTCACGTAAGTAATAATTTTAAAATCAATTTTAAAATAATATATAATTTACAATTCAATTTTAGAATTATGAAAATAATTTTTAAAAGGGTAAATTATATGAATAGTATCATTTGTTTTTAGTTTGACCAAATTTGGTCACACGTTCAAATATTAAGTTCGTTTAGTTTCTTACGTGGGAATTAAAAAAATTAAAAAAATATGTCCATATGCCTCCTCCGCTTTTCTTCTTCAAAAATATCCGTGAGAGAATTGGCTTATACGTTCCAAGAAGTGAACCAACGCATCCGACTATTCACATTCTCAGAAGTGAACCAACGCGTCCGACGAGCCATAGTAAACAAATGTAGTATCCGGGCTTAAAGCCAATGTCGTAACAGCACAATCTTGTTTCAATAATGTATCTGAAAAGAAATGCTTGGTGCATTGGTTCTTTTCCCTGGGCACTCTCTCTTCCATACCTCGACCGTCCCATTGGTCAAGCCTGTAAAAACCAACCCATCGAATACCGCAATAACGGAGTTCACCGCATCATCATGGGATCGGACGGATTCTAAGCATTTCGAATCCAAAACCCTCCAACCTTTGTTTACTTGTTCCACTATTACTTGCTGATCGACGCTGGTTTCTCTGGTTTAATCTCAGAATATGCAGGAGTTTCTTTCTCGGACGAAGGCAGTACCTCGTTCTCCATCTTCTTTATTGCCACAACATTCTTTTCCTTAAGAATCAAAAGTTTGAACCTCTCGCTTTACTTCTTCAACTTCTCACACAATTTGAAGATGTTGATTCTCTAATGGCCTTGTATAAGCATCCTTGGTCTCTGGCTCGCCGACACTATTATTGTTGGAGAAAAGGGACGACGTTACTACATCATCACTTTAAAAGAGATAGCAATGGAGTGAATATTTTGTTACAAATCGATGATATTAATGATTAATATACCTTTGTAATTTCAATGGGGAAACATAAACTTTCTCAAACATTAGTGACAACTTATGTAGTTTACCCTTCTATTTTCTTGGTTTTTTCTTCATCGCAATGTGAAGGCAAGATAGTATCACGTATCTGACCCCCACAACACTAAATCGGTTATATATATATATATATATAACGGTCAACGGTTCATGTTGACTAAGCATGTTCATTGATATGTTTAAGTGTGATGCTACGGTTTCAAAAAAATATTTTTAAATTAATTCAACATTCCAGTCTACATGGACATGCTTAATCAATAGGAAACGTTGATAGTTAGTTAACTAATAATTTTCATCCAACTGAGAGATATTTTGCCTCAATGAAAAGTTAAGGCTAAAGTGCTTCAAAAGAGATTAAAGTGAAAATTAAATATTTTATTAGACTTTAGAAACAAATTTATTATTATGTAAATATATATATTATTTTTTCAAAATCATACTTACTGTTTAGTTTAAGTTTCAATTCAATACCCTACTCTTAAAAACTAACAATGCTGATGTGACATGACATGTCAATTTTTTTTTCCATCACATTTCTCTTTTTCTATCAGTATTTTTTTAATTAATTTTATTCAACCAATCAAGTGGTGATATGTCACTACCTATGAGAATAAATTGAAATAAATCATTCTTACTCCTAACATGAATTGAACATGAGTCTCTCCCATGAGATGCAAGACACTTAACCATTGAGCTAAGCTAGTCATATGTGGTTAATTTCACATTATTTTGTACTTAACTTATATAATAATATCACCGCAAAAATAATATTTTTCGATGATTATAAGATTCAAATATAAGACACTTTAAATTAATGTCTGAAAGTTTAGTCACTCAACTATAGCGTGAATCTTTTTTTATTATATTGAACTTAATACTTACTTATATCATTATTAAATTAAAAGATTAATTTTTCACTTTATTTAGAAATAAAAATAATTAAATAATCTATATATTTTTATAAAATATATATTAAGTCATTCTAAAAAAGCACGTGTAATATTATAAAAATATTTTTAAATTATTTATTTAATTTTAAAATCATATTATTTATTTATTTAAAATAAAACATGGTGAAACTAAAGCAAATGATTAGCCTAGCTTAATGAATCAGTGTGAGATGTAAGAGGTTCAGGTTCAATTCATGTTGGTATCAAGAATGATTTTTTTTTTCATCCTTATAGGCGGTGACGCTAATTAGTTTAATAAAATTAATTAATAATACTGAAGGATAAATAGAAAGATGATGTGGAAATTAAAAAAATAATAAAAAATTGACATATCATGTCATGTTAAAATTATTGTTAAAGTTTTAATGATTGGTACCAAATTGAAATATAGTCTAAATATTAAGTATAATTTTGAAAACAAATAGTTTAAGTACAAAAATAGAACAAAAGTAATAGTTAAGATACTAAAAATATAATTTATCCATATTAAAAAACTCAATGACCATAATCTAAGTACAATTAAAATCAAATTCCTAAAATGGATTAATCATAGATGGCACTTAATATTTTTAATATTTATTTAATAAAAATAATTTAATTAATAGTATATATTTCGATACATTGTACTTATTGATTTTTAAATGCTAAGATACAGTAAAACATCTGTCAAAAGAGTAGAGTATACCGTTTGCTTTAACCCGTATATTTCGGCGTAGATATTTTTACAGTTAAAATTCCTAACCAATCAAAATGAAATAATTCTATCAATAGGATGACTCCATCCTACACGCAGTTCATTAATACACGACTCTCCCCTAATCCATTTTCACTTTCTTCTCCTTCCATTTTCCTTCACTTTCTCGCCAACCAATCACACCACCACCTCCCGTAAACAAACAATGGCCTTCGAAAATGATTGCTGCACGACCCTTATTTTCACGTACGGCACCTTGAAACAGGGTTTCTCCAATCACGTGCTGCTCCAGGATCTGATGCGATCTGGAGATGCCGTTTTCAAAGGCACTTACCAAACGGTAGAGAACTACCCTCTTGTTTGCGGGCCTTACCGCGTCCCTTTCCTCCTCAATATGCCCGGTTCCGGGCACCGGGTCACCGGCGAGTTGTACTCCGTATCGACTCGGGGACTTTCCCGTGTCGACGAGTTGGAAGGCACGAGCAAGGGACATTACGAGCGACGGCCGATCCTGCTGATTCCCTCCGGCGACGGGAACAAAGAGGAGGAGGAAGATCAGGTGGTGCTAACGTGCGCGGCGGAGGCGTATTACGCGCACAAGAGCTTCGAGAAGGAGATGTGGATGAAGAATGGGAGGAAAGGGTTTAGGATATATTCGGAGAAAGAAGCTAAAGGGTATGTGAAAAGGAAAGATAGGCCTCAAAATCTCAGTTTTTTGGAACATATTAGTATTTTCATTTCATCCCCTTCTGCTTAATTCTGGGAAAGAAACATTATGGGTGTTTCTATTTTGATGTGAATTTTTTCCTTTTCATTTCGCTGTACAAATACTACAATACGGAGAGATGAAGAAATTCCAACTGAGAAAATAAATATTGAATTTTCTCGAATTTTGCTCTTTATTTAACAATGATGATCCAACTCCAATTGATCCATTAACACGTCCAGCGTCAAGAATTGAAATTTTGAAATTTGTATCATTCTGAAAATGACAAAATTATATGAAGCACTCAGATTTGGCAGCAAAGAGACAAGCTACACTGCTATTGCACTGCCCATCTCTCATTATCCTCAAATAAAAAGACGAGATAGTGCCTCAACTCAGTTGATCTCTGAGATGACTATAATATATAGACGATACTACTTATAAGCACATATGATCTAATAGATCATAGCTACTTAAGCTTAAGATCATTATAAATACCCCTCAACACTAGTGAGAGAAGGGCTAGAACCTTTTATAATCTAGAAATCATATCTCGTTCTTCTTCTTCATGATTAATAATCTCTCGCATAGAAACATCGGCTAACGACTTAAATCAGAAGAAGAGTCGCCAACAGTTGATGAAAGAAAGTTGTTCCCGTCAACAATTGGTGCGATGATAAAAAATTAGTTTATATTAAAATCACAATTTCATAAGTTATATATTAATTGTTTAGACAGTTGACAGCCGAGGGTCCATAGCTCAGTGGTAGAGCATTTGACTGCAGATCAAGAGGTCACCGGTTCGAACCCGGTTGGGCCCTCTTTAACTTTATTTTAAATTTTCTTCTGTGAAATTTTCGGCATTAGCTCGTCATTGCTTTCATAAACACTAATCGGTAAGAATTCTACTTTCAAAATGAATTCCATTTTGTTTTCTGCTTAATCATACTTCCGCGGGTGGGAATGATAATTTTTTTAATTTTTACAAAATAATTGTTTTTAAAAGTGAACTGTTATTTGTAATACGATACAATTGTTATAAAATAAAAGAAATGAAATGAAATATGAAGAAAAACAATACGAAAGAAAAGATACTAAAAGGTGACGAAGAATCTATATTATTTTTTCAATATAAATTGTGTGCAATATTTTTTAATATTTTATTTTGTAAACATAACGAGTATATCATATAAAACTTTACTTTTAGCAGATATAATAAAAATAAGTCTTGTGTGATGTATATAATTTTAGTCATAATAGACGCCCATATAAATAAATATTTATAAAAATAATTAATTATTTGTATAGATTAAAAAATATTGATGTAAAATTAGTTATTTGTAAGAGAAATATCAAATCGTCTAGTCACTTTTCTAAAACGATTTTTGGCTGGACTCTTTTAAATGTTGATATATATTTAGCCCAAATTTAATTGTTTATCTTTGGAAAATATATTGATCTTGAACAAGAATTAAAGATAAATAAAGAGATACTCAATTAGAGTCTTCGTCTTTTTAAGTAACGAGGAGATAAATATTAGATTATCTTTTATTGTTTGATTTAGATTCATATTCTTCATGGCATTCGAATAGATTATATTTATATCAAGAACTATCATCTTTTATCTTATGATGGTAACTTGATTTAGTGTATTTTTTTATTAAATAAAGATAAATTATATTCTAAGATAAATGTCGAAAGTCAAATTCACATAGAATAAAATAATATGAGTATCATTGATCACTCGATTAATTAATAAAAATCACACAATAAGCCACATATCTTTTAAATTAAGAAAAGAGACAAAAGAAAATAGTCTACAACTCTATGAGGTAGATTACTGATTCGTCTTTGATAAATTGCTTGGTTTTCCATCAGACTCAACAACCTTCGTTTGCTTGCTCATTTGGCTTATTTTGTTCATCATCGCTCAAACTCTTATCAGTTTGAGCTGGTGGGTCCATTTTAATTGGGGTATGTGAGAGAGGTTTTCGTGAACGACATTTGATCTTCTCGTGCGCACCCATAGTTACTTTTAAGATTTAAATAAAAAAGACGTAGATGAATTAAGATATGATTTTATTTTTTAATTAGAATTTAATTTCTCTGACAAAGATGTATTATTCGAATCCTAAAAATTGGTAGACTAACTTTAGCGTCGAAATTCTATTGCTCTAATATTTGGGTTTCACGGTGTTCGGACAACCTACTGCATTCTCAAATCGTGAAAGAAATTTGAGCACTTATTCTTTCATCCACTCACTTAGGGAGAATAAATTAAATCCAAGTTGTGTAGAAGATTTGATTTACATATAATACAATCTCCATCTTTTATCAAAGAATTATAGTCATTGTGAACTTTAATGAATATTTATGATTTTTTATGTCTTTTAAAATCTATTTTATATTTATTATAACCTTGGCATACCCGATTTGTGGTTTCTTGTTCATGTATTTATCCTCGTACTGATAATAAACATGTATTTATGCACCCAAAAAATTAATGTTATGCAACAAAACTGATGACCATGAACCCAAATGGGTTGATCCCTAGCACCACAAATACCTAATATGAACAAAAATAAGAGGAAAATTCAACGAACATAAAATGGCTGCATGTTAAACGAACCAAGAATAGAAAAGGAGAGGGAGAGAGAGAGAGAGACAGGCTAAACGGTGAAAGAAATCTACAATTTGGGGAAAGGCCGAATTCAGGCTAAATCGTGTTATACAATTTGAAAGGCCCATATTTTCATGGGCTTACTCAGCTCAATGGTAAAGTTGGGCTTCTCCTAGAAGACGGAGCACACGTTCGAGCGCTTGCCCAAAAAACAAAAACCGTTTTTTGTCTAATTTATTATTTGGATAAATTACAAATTTATCAACTAAACTTTACTCTCTTTCCTATTTTACTCAACGTACTTTTAATTTTTTCAATTAACTTGCTCAATTTTATGCATTTGGTTTCTTGTCACTTTACTGTTAACTTTCTAATGGCGTTATGACATAGATTAAATAAATATTTTTAATCATTAAAATAAAAATTTAAAAAAGAAAATAATTAGAAAAAATAAGATACCCTTAACACCCAAAACTATTTATTTCCTCAAATTCAAGCTCCACCATAACTGAGTTAAAAAAAAAAAAATCCACCACCGTTCCATTTTCACCCACTATGGTTTTAAGTCTTCTCTTGGGCTCTCACCGTTGATTCTACTTTTCACCACAACTACTCCACTTTCCTCCGGATGACTTACTCTTTAGTTTCGACCTACTGTTTCTATCTGTTTCATTCTCTTCTTACTTTCATAGGTGCCAACCCTTGCCCTTGCTCTCCAGGTATCTTCTCTTGCCTTCAGATGAAATTCGTTCCGTTATCGATTTGTTTTGCAGATCTATGAAGTTGAATGTTGTTGCTTTTGCTTTCAAAACCATGAACAAATTGATCGATGGGTGGCATGATGTTGTTATTTACAACGTTTTGATTAGTGGATAATTGAAAAACGAGGATTTTGAGGAGGCTTTGAGGTTTTATAAGAGGATGAAAAAAAGATGGAGTGAAGCTAAATGTGTGTACTTTTAATACTTTGATTAATGATTATTGTAGGAATAGAAATTTTTGAATTTGGGTTGGAGTTGTTTAGGGAGATGAAAGAGAAAGACCCTAGGCTTAATGTGTCCTTAAATGATCGAAATAATTCTTAACTTTATTTATCGATAGTAATAAAGAAAAAAACATGAATAACGTATTCCATAATTCTTTTTGTCCACCATCGTAAAAAAACTAATTTTTAGATATTTTTCTTATTCTTATATTTTCTAGGGTTTGTTTTTTTGTTGTCGGTCAATAGGTATTACGTTTCAATTGTATTTAGAATATATTTAAAATTCACTTCTTTGAAAATTCAATATATAGTTTTTTTTATTACATTTAAAGTTCAATTTTTTTTTAAAATGATATAATTATTTAATTTTTTATATTTCAAAATTTTAAGATAAAAATGTAACGAGGTGATTGCTTATGTTTAAATGCTTATATATTCTTTAATTTATAGGTGGAAAAAAGTTCAGAAAATATAAACATGGAATGAAATTATTAAAAGAATTAAAATCTAATTAATAAGAAAATAATATATATTTTTAATAATAAAGAAATAATATATTTTAAGAAATTTCCCGTATAGCTCAATTGATAGAGCGCAAGGCTCTTAAACTTGTGGTCGTGGGATCAAGTTTCATTGAGAACAATTCATAACGGAGATCTTCTATAGAAACTGCTCTCAACTTGGTGTATTTAATTAATTGATTATTTTGAATAAATCACTTTATTATCAAAATTATAATACACGTTAATTTTTATTAATAATTGAATGTGTTTTACCTTTCTAAAAAGAAAATTACTTTAAAAGTTGACCAGTCAACCCTTTTATATTCCATTCTAAAGAACGAAAAATATGAATAAGAAAAATGGAAAAGAGAAGAAAAGACAACAGGCGGAAGCTAAAACAGGTGTTAGAAATTTGGAGAGGGAATCCAACCTCAGTTTTCATCGCCTTTTTATATAAAAAAGGGAAATCACTATTAAAATTCAAACATAAAAAATCAATAAATAATAATAGTATTTAATAGTTACGACATTAATTAGTATATATAAATATGTATGGATGAGAATGAGATTACTGTTGGAGAAAGATAAAGAGAAAAGGAGAGTGGTTTTGGGAACTTCGGGATGATCAAAGCTTTAGAGTAATGTGAATTAGGGTTCCTTTCTTCTCCCGTTTGGGCTTTGGAACTTCATTTCAGTGATCAGATTTCATCGGAATTCCCGGGACCGGAAGAATTGGGTCGAATTTTGATTCATTGAAGGTGACGACTTTTTTTCTTCTTCTTCCCGTTCTTTGTTTTAAGATGAATTGGTTGCATGTTAAGATTTGATGAGTGTTTTTCATTTTTAGCTTCAGTTGTTAGATTAATTTAATTTTGCTTCATGTTGTTGTATGTTTTTTTCTTTTTTTTTTGAGAAATTCCATGGCTCCATTTGTTTTTTGTTTTTCATTTTCAAGAATCAAAATATAAAACTATAGAGAGCTATATATATTAGATAACATCAGTTTAGTGTAATTACAATTGCATGTTGGATTACTTGGCTAATTGAGTTCGTAATTAACTTTTTTATTTTGCTAATTGGTGTTTTAAAATTACTCTTCCGGGTTACAATAACAGTATAAATAGTGATATTATCGTTCAATGAATTGAAATGAATAAAAAAAATTGTCTGCAAACATTGAATACAATGTTATTACTATAAATGGAATATTAAGATTAGAGTGTGGAAAAAGTTCTGCTAGTAACTACCAGTCTACCAATATTTTTTAAGAAATTGCATAATTTTAGCAGATAATAATCATAGGAATAAAAACATATTCAATCTATTCGATAAAAGTTTAAAACCGCTACAAGTGGCATTAAAAGTTCCTTGTGTGTCCATGTATGTTACTCGGATTCAGGTTTGCGTCATTGCGTGTTGGAAATGAGTATCCGACATCCTTGCGGGTTAACTTTTTTTCAGTGTTTTTTCCCTTGAGAATAATATACTCATATCCATGTTTGGAAATCTGTATGACATGGATACTTGAAGATCATTTGGTTAATAAGGTTTTACGGTAAGGAAAGAAAAAGGAAAAAATCGTTAGGAACTATAGGTTAGCCTCTGCATCCTACGCCATCCAAACCCTCCAAACTGCTATGAATCTAACCTGCTGAGTGTTGTGTTTTTCTCCCCGTATAATATAAAATGCATAGTGATTTTTCCTCAACTCATAGAAAGTTGTGTTCATAATTAAATTCTATTCGGATGATTATCATTTGCTTATAGTTATATGATGTGCAGGGCGATTTGGCCTGAGAGGCAATGCCGTGCTAATTTGGCCAAGATGCTGCCGATTGCCTTTTTGTTCATCAACTTTTCACTCAGATTAAAGTTTTTAACGGAACTAAAAGTTCTTTTTTCCTACTGGTTTATGACGTTTGCTCAAAATTTTGTTCGTGTGATTAGTTCATCCTGGGACTGAAGCCCGAAGGCTTGGTTATTTATTAAGAACCATAATGCGTAATTGGAAAGATGATTATTTATTTCAGATTATGAAATAGTTGGTTTCGAAGTTTTTATTCATATGTTTCTCTTGCTAACAATGAAAAAAAAAATCAGAAGCTTTGTATTGGGTCTGTTTAAAGAAATGTTGCATTCCATGGATTGTGAGTACTATTTTGAAGCCATATTTATTTTAACTTATCCATTTTTTTCTTAGTTCATAGTCATTGTCATATCAATGAGGGTCAAAGTTCAGGCTTGATCCTTGTACAATTGTTAATTTGACTGCAGGAAGATGATACTTAAAGTGCTGCATTGTTAAATTGTTGAACTATTATATGCTTTTGAGAAAAAATTGTTTGCATTAATTACTCTCGATCATCAAGATTTAGAAGCACATTGGGTGTATCGACATCCTTCCCTTCAAGGAATTCCTTGGTCTAAAGTCAAGCTTAGAAGGAAGCTTATCCTGTTTCCTTTTGGTATCGCCACTTTCTCTTTTAATCAATCTTTTTCCCTTCTCAGGGAATAGTTTGTGTAGGAGACATTCTAAATGGTGTTCAGAGATTCGCTTAAGGAGCCAAAGGTGAAAACAGAAGGGACCGAACATGATTCACCCGTAATGGCTGGTTTGCAAGGTCAAGTCTCAGTGCAGCCTCCAGCGTCTTTTAAACACAACTTGAGAGTTTCAGAAGATGATTTGCATCTATTGGCATACATGCTCTTGGCTAATAAAACTAATACAAAATGTGTCGGGCAAGGTTTGCTGGATCAGGAAGTGCATAGCTTAACTTTTGGCTATATAAGGCTGAATGGAAAGAAACCTGTAATTGTAGCAAGATCTGGAGAAAAAAATTATGGTAAAGCATCAGATGATAGTCTACTACCGGGTCTTAATGATGATATGGCATTGAACATTCTAGCTCGGAGCAGCAGATCCGATTTCCCTAATCTTTCCTATTTAAACAGAAAATTTAGGTCACTGATCGGCAGCGGTTATTTATATAAATTGAGACGTCAACTTGGAATAAGAGAACATTGGATTTATCTAGCTTGTAATCTGATGCCTTGGGAAGCTTTTGATCCTTTGAGAGAGAAATGGATGAGACTGCCGAGGATTCCATGTGATGATTGTTTCACTTGTGCTGATAAAGAGTCTCTGGCAGTGGGGACTGAATTACTCGTGTTTGGTCGTGAGTTATCCGGATTTGCTATTTGGATGTATAGTTTGACATCTAACAATTGGTCGAGATGCCCCCTAATGAATTTGTCTCGATGTTTGTTTGGATCTAGCACCCTTGGGGAGATTGCTATTGTAGCTGGGGGCAGCGATAAACATGGGAACGTTCTAAAATCTGCTGAGCTTTACAGTTCGGAACTGGGTACTTGGCAAACCTTGCCAGATATGAACGTCCAACGTAAATTGTGTTCCGGTTTCTTTATGGACGGGAAATTCTATGTCATCGGGGGCATGTTGAGTCATACAGATTGTTTGACTTGTGGTGAAGAGTATAATATGGGGACAAGGTCATGGAGGAGGATAGAAAATATGTACCCTGGTTCCAGTGCAGGTGGTGCATTTCATCCTGCTATGCGTTCACCTCCTTTAGTTGCGGTCATAAATAATCAGCTTTACTCTGCTGATCAAGCCACTAATGAAGTCAAGAAATACGACAAGGTTAATAACTCGTGGAATGTTGTGAAGAGACTACCGGTTAGGGCCGACTCATCCAACGGTTGGGGACTGGCATTTAAAGCTTGTGGAAACAGTTTACTGGTAATAGGAGCCGGAGGACATGGAAGTGGTGATCATAGAGTAATTGTTCTGCATTCTTGGAAACCAGAGGAAGGAACCAGAGATGGATCAGACTGGAGCGTGCTTGCGGTGAAGGAACGGGCAGGTGCTTTTGTTTACAATTGTGCAGTGATGGGTTGCTAGCTGTTAGCGACACCGCTTTGGTGAGAACATGGGGAGCCAGAAGACTGGTAAGCCTAACCAGTTAATGATTTGAACATTTCTCAGTATTAGCAAGTTGTTATTTGTATTTTCGTTTCTCCATTTATGTTTCATGAGATGAATAATTGACCTGAAATCAGTTTCTGAAAGTTCACTGTTTGTGTCGGTGTCATTACTGAACCTCATACCAAGTAAAGGTGTGGTTTGGCATTGAATTCGTTTATTTGAGCGTTTCAGTTGGTTCTGGGTTCAAATAACTTTCTATTCATATCATAATCATGTTTAAATGTTTTATATTTAGACAATATTTGAGGTAAGTTTATATATTAGCATCGTGTTTGTTCCATACAAGGCCAGGGGATGATTCCCAGAGTTTACAATTGAACTCTGTCTTTCTCATGCTCTTAAAGTCGGTTACTTTTATTTAATGTTGGCATGTGCTTACAAATCTTGTATATGATGTTCTTCCATTTTTTTTATAGGAAAAATATATTTTTAAAGTTCTATTAGACACGTTTTTAAACATAAATATAATATATATTTGAGTGAGTTGCTACCATGTATGAAAGGAAAACTATTCATATCATAATTTTTGGGATAAATATTAAATTTATACATGAATTTTGGTTTAATGGATTTTGGTTTGGTCTAAATACGTTTTTGTTTAATTATGTACATAAATTCTTTAAGATTGATGGTATGAATGTTTTTGTACTTTGCCATTTTTATTAATCTGATGCATGTATTTTGTTACTTTGTAATGTATTATTTTCGACCCTTTACCGTCGATCCTAACCTCGCCATCCTCACCTGATGGGCGATCACCATGCGCAGGCTCCACCTCGTTATTAAATCCCACTTGGCTACAATCAACTCTTGGATCTTTAATCACCTTCAGATACCATCGCTTCCGTCAATGGGATCACACTCACCATGATTCGGCCCTAGCCCTTTACCATCTTTCTTTCATTCAATCAAACTTGAGTTAAACTGGTAAAGATCGATGCTGAAATTGGGGGATTCCTCGAGTTGGGTGTTACTGCTACTCTGTAATTAACTGTGAATCCAACAATGCTGGACGCAGCAATATTAGTAGGAATGTCGCCGGACATCTGTTGCCGCGCTGAGTCATGGTAACTTGAGGTTCAAAGGACTTGTTGTAAAAGAAGCAAGAGTTTTCGAGGTTTTAGGGAAGTTAAAGGCTTGTAAACGAACTGAACGAACACGAATAAGGGCATATTTGCGTTCGTTCATTTAATTTTAACCGAATAAATAAATGAATATGAACAACTAAACGAACATTATTTTTTGTTTGTGTTCGCTCGTTAAGGAACGTAGTTTGTTCATGTTCGTTTATGTTCGTTCGTTAAAATGATAAATGAACATAAACGAGCGAATATAAAATATAATTTTCTTTTAAATCAAGCAAAAAATCTTAAAAGAATATAAATAAATGAACATACATTAACGGATTACCGAACATAAACAAATAAATTATCAAACGTACACGAACATGAATGAACGAACAAGCTCTTTGTTCATATTCGTTCATTTAATTAAACAAGCAGAAAATCTTGTTTATATTCATTCGTTTAATAAAGAAAGGAACACAATCAAACTTTTTTATCGAATGATTCACGATTGATTCATTAAACGTTCTATTGGTTTTCAATTGCTTCTCTTTCTTGTGTGTTGATAATTTGGGATTTAATGGAATAGGTAAATATCTTGTTTGTGTTTTAGATTCTCTCTCTTTTGATTGATTTTTTTTATTTAAAAGAAAATTTGACCATGTGAAAGGGTCGATTTTATTACATGTCTATAAGTTTTTTGTTATTTTATTTTTACTATGAAAAAGAAAAAAAAATAAAATTGTTTAAAGGTGTTTTTATTTATAGTAGTTTTTTCTTTAATATTTATGTGACGGTGAAGTGTCATGTGTTTCTATCGTGTCATTAGTTAATGATATTAGTACTTATGAGGTATTTTAAAGAATACAAATAAAGTATAAAGACACATTTAACATATAAAAAATACATACACCATTACAGATAAATATATGATTTTATGACAAAAAGTGCGGACTTGTATGAAGATATATTAAAAATATTCAGATATAAAATTACAAAATTTCAAGAGTTTTGAAATTAGATCATAAATAAAAAATACTTGAACTATATATGAAATTTAAAATTTTCAGAAGGTGCGATTGTACACCCCGATTCATCTTTTACACCATACTAACAAAATACTAAAGTACAAGAGGTATTCATGTCATAACTCGCATTTTTATTTTGATTCGATTGCACATATTTTTAAAAGGAAATATATTTATTTTATTTTTATACTAGATTAATATAATTATTTATATTTATAGTATTATAATATAATATGATGTAATGTTAAATTTATGTTTTTAAAACTTAATAAGGATTTTCTAAACTAATTTAGTGGGTGAGTTTGACAAAATTGCTTGGATATAGTTGTGGGGAAAGACATTTCCCTCACATACTGCCCTTAAAGAATTATTTACTAGATTAAGACATTTGCTATATTATTATGGAAAAGACACGTTGATTGCAATGTGTTTTCAGCTTTATAAGAGAAGACGTATGGATTGAAGTGCATACTCAGCTCCACAAGACATGCAGTTGGAATCCAAGTCTAAGATAATCCAATCATTTTTTTCACCACATTTTTTTTGACAATTTTGTCAAGGCAAAAGCACATCTAATCGAGAGCACCTTAGTCGGCTAGGGATTATCTGGACATATTTTTATCCAATACAATCGAAGACAATATAATTTATTTAAATAGATTTTTTTAGTATGAATCAATTAGGTGACCTTAATAATTAAGGGAAACATTGTTTTACTTAGAGGTCATATATTCGAGCAGCTACGTTTGAGGGTGTATATTCGTTGTCAATTTTTAAGAATGATTATGAGCAAATACTATCTTTTAATTATCTCGGTAAACAAATGTGATAAAAATGATTGGTTGATCTAGGGTGCATAAGAAATTATTTTCTCAAGTGGGGTGAAATGAACAGTGTCGTCTAGAAGACGCCAGGAACAAAGTGTGTCTTCTGAAAGATGCAATGACAACTATGTGTCTTCCCCTTTAATATTCTCTTACACTCGAGTTCCAATTGCATGTCTCGTGAAGCTAAAGACGCACTGCAATTCTTACGTTTTTTCCTGATAAAACTGAAGATGCATTGTAATCCATGCGTATTCTCCCTGACACTATAGTAAGTGTCCTAGTTCGACAAATAACTCTTTAAGATCACTATGTGGGGAAGTGTTTTTCCTCACAACCATATCCAAGCAATTTTGCCCTTTTGCCCTGCGTGGTAAAAAAGTTGAAGGTGATGTGCACTAAAAGCGTTATTTTATAAAATTATCCCAAAATCCAAATTCAATTATACACCAACTTTAGATTATTAAAAAAATGGATTTGGAGTTATGAAATTAATGATTTCAAATCGGTGTACAATTGAATCCCACGTAGAACAATTCCAGAACCCAATGTCGTCACTCTGTGTCGAAATATAAAACCCTAAATTATTAGTTTTAAAATTATAAATCCAATTTTTAATTACTCCAAATACATTTTCAGTACACAACGTTTTCATTCTTTTGATTCACGCATGGTAAAAATGTATCTAACTACAAATAATTTTAATAAAATTTGATCACCTAAACCCATCTATATTTCCACAATCGAAATTTATATCATTTTTCTAAATATTTTTTTTAAATACTATTCTCTCAATTCTTTTTAGAAGGAATATTATACTCATAAATTTACCAAGAACAAGAATAGGAGGCAATAATAGAGCGAATACGTCGGAGAGTACTCCACCACGAGCTGCCAAAGCACGCTCAGTCAATCGCTAATCTCCAGCCCAAAACTGACCAGTACAACCATGTGTCACCCCTTAGGCCTAAGGCTTCGTCGTATCCTGCCTACTCGTCTTTAACCGGCCTTTTAGTACCCAGCTATAATCTATTCCCTTAGGCCCAAGGGCCCCTTGGCCAATCCTCGCTCGAAGCATGTATATGTAGGTGAAAGTAGGTTTGTTTATAGACGATTAACCGTACTTAAACGATATGAATAATCGCTATAATAATTACAATATGGAAAATATCAAAGACGCAACAAATAAGAAGAAAAACTAGAGTCGCGTGTGATCTAGTTCTTTTTCTTTTGATTCTTGTGTCTCATAGTTGAGAACGATCCACTTTTCCCTGCCCAGAGTCCCCACTTTTCCCGACTTCTTAACGGTTACTCGTCGGATTCTTGCGGCGGTCATTTTACTATTTCGCCGGAGATCTGCTCAAAACCGCTTTTGTTATTTTTTAAAATCCTTCGCTCTATTCCAGTGCTTTGGATCGACTCCCATTTACAGATTTCCATCGGGTTCTCAAGGGCCTTTTGACAAATTGGGTCATTTTTTATGTTCGTCTCAGATTCAAAAATTCTTCGACAGAATTTCTTTAGAGAGGTGTGTATTCTTTTTTATACTTCCAATTTTACTAATTTTAAGCGGATTGTGATCTTTGTTGATTGTTCCTCCTGGAATCTAGGGTTTTTGATTTTTGACCGGGCGATAGAATTTGAATATTTTTAATTGATTGTTGTAAAGCTTGTTAGAATATCGTCGAGCTTTAGATCCATGGGTACAGGAGATCTGGAAAGTTCGATTTACTCTTCAGCGTCCTAGTAGTTTCCCTTACAGCTCGGTTCTTAGTTTTGGTTATTCAATGCAACTTAAACTTGTTCTTTTGAAGTTAATTTGGAGTTATTTTGCTTGGATTATTTATAGAAATTTTACTGAGAAAAGTTCATGTTTTGAGTAAGGCTTTAAGTTGACGACGTCTTAAATATCCATAGAATTTGTTATTTACTTGAAAAGTAGTTACGCTTTGAGTAGGATCTACTGGATCTATATTTTACTACTTTGCTTTGAGTAAGATTTACTGGCTCTTTATTATTTCATTGTCATATACTCTTAGTATCTTATATCATTACCGTTATTTCAAATTGAGTATAATTGATATAAAGATTTATAAATTTTGTTGTGGTTTTACCACTTGATTTCTAGCTGTTGGCCTAAAGTTAAGTAAGATAGTGTTAATTTGTCTTAAAAATTATATTTCATAACCAACTAGGCTTCGTAGTACCCCTCAATTCTCTAGCGTTTTATTGGTGCATCTTCTGTCTTCTTTGCATTTTGTTTCATAGTTCCTCATAGCTTCGGTTATAGATGATTACTTGAGGTCATGTCCTTCTTTTAGATCCCATGGGACGTATAGGGGGAGGGCTCGACAGAGTGGTGACAAGGAGACTAGACTAAGAGTTTGCTCGTTGAATGTAGGCACATTAAATGCTAGGCTGCTGGAGCTGACTGACGTACTTAATAATAGAAAAATAGATTTTGCATGTATTCAGGAGACTAGGTGGAAAGGGTCTCGCGCCAGAGAGTGTAATGGGTACAAGTTGTGGTATTCAGGCGTAGATAACGCTAGAAATGGGGTGGGTATCTTGGCATCCTCTAGACTCAAGGAAAATGTAGTTGAAGTTTGCAGATACCGGGATAGGATCATGATGATTAAGGTTATTATAGATGAGGAAGTAGTAAATGTCTTTTCAGTGTACGCCCCACACGTTGGCCTAGGGGAGGGGGAGAAACGTTGCTTCTGGGATCAGTTAGATGATATACTTAGGAGCATTCCGGAGGACCAAAGAGTTTTCATAGGGGGGAGACTTCAATGGCCATATAGGCAGTGCAACCGACGGGTATGACGGTGTTCATGGGGGTTTCGGTTATGGTAGTAGGAACGATGGGGGGCGTATGTTGCTTGATTTTGCTACCGCTCACGATTTGGTGATCACTAACTCCTTCTTTAATAAGAGAGATGCGAACTTAATTACGTTTCATAGCGGGGGACATTGTACCCAAATCGACTACATCTTGGTTAGAAATCGGGAACGACGGGCTTGCATTGACTGTAAGGTGTTCCCTGAAGAGGCATGTGCATCACAACACATATTGTTGGTTTTGGTGTTCCGCGTACCCCACGGGCGGAGCACTCATAGGAGGGCTAAACTTGGTAAACCTAGGATCCTCTGGAAGAACTTACATGGAGCGACAACTGATGACTTTAGGAGTAAGGTTTTGTCTAATACAGGTTTTGAAACTACAAACTCAAAAAATGCAGATAT